GGGGGGGGGGGGCAAGAGAATTTTATGGAATTAGTGTCTTCATTTGGAGGATTTTAACCTTCCCAAATGTCATATCCCTGGTTCATGGCAATGATTAATTTTGTTTGTCAATATATTTCTCATATCCCCAGCACCATGCCTGGGAGCCAGCACATAGAAGGTCTCAGAAAACATTTGTTATAAAAGTGAATGAATGAATCATTAAGAAAAATTGACTTACCATGAACCTCTTCATATTCTGCACCATTCACTCCCAGTTTTCACTTCCCTATGGAAAAAAGAAATCACCCAGGATCACAATGAAGAGCCGACTTATTTCATCAAAGAGCAAAGGCAAAGAAGAATTCAAAATCTAGATCTTCTTACCAGGACTCTCCCCTGGAAGTTCTGTTGTTTGCAGATGAAATTCTCTTCCCAGCCTAGAGTTAGGGACAAACTGAGGAAGATGGGTCTGTTGTTCACCTTATAACTCCCCTTTTGACAAATTCAGCTGGCCTTACCCGCGTCAGGTAGGAATGACCTCCAGAGAAAGCAGTCACTTGGAGAGTGTGAAGTGACTTGCAAGTCAGTCAGTGCAGTTAAAGCCTTGCTCTCTCCAGTTCTCCATCAGAAGTTTTCTCAGGACATGCTTGTCCCAAAGGGAAAAACGAACAGCCTGGTAACAGCTATTCCCATAAGATGAATTGCAGGTGGATTACAAGTAACTTGGGTTAAGAAGGGATTGCTGGAAGTCTTGTAAGAGGGGGGTGGGATGTTTTGGGCTGAGAAAGTCTATGTTCCTTCACATATTTCCCTGCCCTCAAATGGTTTGCCCCTGTAGTACTCGGTGTCCCTACCTTCTGTGGGCTTCTGCCACCTAGCAACGAAGGAACTATCAATCTATTTTTTCTAGGGACTGAAGGAGCTTTCTGGCCTATCAAAATACAACAGAGGAAAACTCTGTTCAGCCAACATTCAAACCTCAATTTGAAACACAACTGGCCATTATATCCACATGCTACAAAAATACAACCTTCTTTTGAAAAGGAAAACCCTACTAATGGTACAAAAGGTAGTGCATGCAGAATGCTTTTAAATATGGAGCCATTTTAAACTCTCAAAATGTCATTCTTCCAAGGAATGCAAACTGAAAGTGAAAGTTGCTAAATTTACTCTTGTTTCTAAGATTAACTGCGACGCTAGACTCCCAGGTTTCAACACCCATGCCATTGTCCAGACAACTGGATCCTGCTACAGTGAGGGAAGCTGGATTAAATTATTTCAGAGGAATGTGTGTCATTTCTAAGTCTGCGGTCAGCTTCGCGATGTTTAAAGCAAAGGTTGTTAGACACGAATGCTGAACAGATTTTGTAAATGTTCTGCATTTGCCAGTGGTAGAGACAGATGTTGACCACATCAGGAGAGACATGCGTGACAGCGTTTTCCAAAATGTTTGTGATGAAATAAAATTTGCAAAGGGGAAAATTGGCAGCTGTCTGGTGCCAGGACAATTTCCTCCAAATGCCACCCCTGTCAGGTCATGTTCTCCTCAGGGACATGAGGAAATCCAAAGTCTGGAATTAAAGGGCTCAAGACTATCCCAAAGGATCCCTAGATGCCAGGACCACCTCTTGGCTCTCTTCCTACATATTTTGCTTGGGTGGCTCCCTCTACCTGGAAAATGTCACTCTAGCGCCCTTCAAAACTGGGATGGAACCTTATCGTTTCCAAGAAGACTTCCCTTTCCAGCTGCTCCCCACATTGATCATGCCGCTGTGTTTGGTACTCCTGGCAGTCTCTCTAATCATCATTAAAACCATGATGGACCCACTGGAAATCTTGGCTTCAAATCTGTGTCCCCATATAAAGCCAGCATGTGGAACAGACTCCCTGGTGGCACCTGCTGCCCTTCCTCCCTCCCACATCCACTGTTCATCCCCACCCTGGGTTGTGCTTTGCTCTTCATCCACTTCTAATGGGTCACCTTGATCTAAGGGATCCTGGGTACGTGATAGCGTAAGTGCTTTCTGGATCAGAGCTTAAGTGGCATTCTTTGCACTATGTTGTCATTTGTTTTCCTCCCAGCACATGTCTTCTGTGGTGGCTTAACTCTCTCTACTTCTTATTCTCCTCCCAGGATAAAAGGATCTCATGAAACAAGTTTATTTTCCTCTGTTCTAGTTTCTGAAACTAGCATTTTGTTGTTGTTGTTGTTCCTTCTTTGACTAAAAGAGCATATGTGTAAGATCCTTTATATATATTATCTTCAATCCAAACTTATCAACTCATATTATGCATGGAGAACCACATCATCAGAAAGGTTAAAGGGCTGACCCAATGTCATCCGGCAAAGGCAGAGCCCTGACTTGAACCCAAGTAGGTCTAGCTCTAAACCCCTTGACTGTGGGTCAGTGTCATAGTGCCCATGTCTAACGCCATGACAGGCACTTGTTGGTGATGTTGTTCTAACTGATGCTTAAAGTATGACCAGGTGATAGTTGCTCCAGGATTGAATGAAATCCTGGAGACAAAGCTATCAAGAGTTGAGCTTATAAAAATTAAAATTAAAAAAAAAAGTCAAGCTTACAAAATTGGCACAAATTGGTTTCATGAAAGACTAAAGGGACCCCAATTAGGTCTGTCTGAGAAAGGTGAGACTGACCTCCTAAGGTAACCAAAACATTCAGAGCATGGGATAGCACAGTATCAGAACCATTGAGGTGAACTGATGCCAAAGTTTGGATACAGAGGAAATAATGGATGAGCACACTGGTCAGTTTTTTATGACATCTGAAACTGGGATTTAGAATCTGTGTTTTTGAGGAACTTCACACAGGCTCTCTATAATGCATTACCCCCAACTCTCTGAGTGTTCCATGTTTATATATAATATTTGTCATTTGATATTATAACAGCATGTTGTCCCTCTTCCCCAGCCCTCTGTTCCCCAGACTATCAGCTATTCAAGGACCGTAACATAATCTTGTCACTTTTCCCCAAACTGATCTAAAGACTGGACACAATTTTAATAAAAAGCCACACCAAATTCTTGAGGAGCTTCACCAATAACTCTCAAATTTATAAGAAGGAGCAAAAACCCAAGAATAAACAAGGCACTTCTGAAGAGGAAAATCAGGTTGTGCTACAAAGTTGGAATAATGAAGTCTCTGTGTTGTATGGACACAGACAGACAATCAGTCCAGTGGGACAGGCTACAGGATGAGGGAGGCAGAGAAGTGTGGGTATTTGAGAATGGCATAGAAGGCCCCAGGCCATGAAGGAAAACCTTAAGTCTTGAACAAATGTGATAGGGCCACTGGTTACCCACGTGGAAAAAAATAACTGTGACTGCACCTCGCTTCACACCATGCAAAAAAATCAAATCCTTTAGATGTCATTCTGAAGACTTAGATATAAAAGGCAATACTCTAAAACAAAGACAATATAGGAGAACATTTGTAGAACCTCAGGGTGTTGAAGCCCTTAAACAAGATACAAAGGTGCTGACTACAAAAGAAAACCTAATGAATTTGGCTACATTCAAATTAAGAACTTCTGTTTAACACAGACCCAATGAAGAAATCAATCAGAAAGCCACAAGCCAGGAGAATGTATTTGCAATATACAACCAGTAAAATTTGCATAAAGAGGACTGAGTTTTAAAAATATCTTCAAAGTCTAATAAATAAGTTAATCAGTACAAAGCCAAACAACCTAGCAGAAAAATGAGCAAAAGACAGGAACAGGCAGTCCACAGTGCAGGAAACATAAATGGCCTGACACACAAAAGAAGACTCAACCTCATTAGTAAACAGAGAGACACTAATGAAGATACCAGGGAGCTTCCAGCTTACACCCACTGGATTGGCAAAAAATAAGAAATCTGATACTGTCAAAGACTTGGCAAAGTTGTGAGTCAACTGGAATTTTCATATGCTGTTGATAGGAGTCTAAAATGGTACAACTGTTTGGGAAGAAATAAGTTGAATGTTCACAACTTTACGTAGCCTAGCAAGTCTACCCTAGAGAAACTCTTGTGCACGTGCACAAGATTTATGTGATTCTATTTTTAAGTATAAATTCTTGCATGGAATTTATGTATAGGAATGTTCATAGCAACATGGTAATAGCAACCAAAAAACATTCAAAGAAAAAGAATAAACAACTATTTATATCTCCTCGGACAACAAAATGTTATATACCATAGTTAAAATAATCAATGACTATATGAGCATGGATAGCTCTAAGAAACAAAATATTGAGTTAAAAAAAAACAAATAATAAGAATACTGCATATGATAACCATTTGATAAAGCAAGCAAAGTTAAACAATGCATTATTTGATATCATATGCATGCATGCTAGATTATTTTTTAAAACCAATGAGCTATAAAAATGAAATTCAGAATGCTGGTAACTTCTAGAGGTATGCTGCGGAAGAACCAGGAGAGGAGCACACCAGCTAAAGCAATGGTACTGATCATGTGCATGGAAGGAAATCTCACAGGGTCTCTACTGGGCTTTGTCACTTACCTGTGTGCTTCTCACGTTCTTTCTCATGTATCAACTATGACATAATAAAAGGAAAAATCAGTTGCCCAAATTTTTCTGAGAATGCAAAAAAAAAAAAAAAAAGATTCATCCAGGTGCTCATAATTCTGCTCATGCTCACAGACTCACCCACATAGAATGTCAGAGGTGGGCCCCCCCAACTGCACCTTCCACTAATGAAGTGGGTAAGGAAACCTGAGGCTCAGAGATGACTGTCCCATAGTTACCTGACAGAGCCAGGAACCAAACTCAGGTATTTCAACACCTTTCCCTTAGACCAGGTCCCCAGGCCATGCCCTTTGGTCTGATAGATAATAAAAAGAAAACTCCAATCTCCAACCCCTGGCACAGAGCCTATTCATTGGTTCTCAAAATATGTTTGCTGACTTACTGAAGAGTACAGAATTTTTGCTGACTTGATCACAAGGTGTCTCCAAAGTATTTCTGTCTCCTGGCTCAGTGGCTTCAAACCAAACAAAGCTTCCTGGAGGGAAGACAGAAGATACTACCAGCTGTATCATTAGCGGGCACTGCCAGGACTCATATGTCTGGGCACATGGGAGGAGATATCATGGGAAGAAAGAGGATACAGCCCTGTGGCATCCAGGCTGCACTCTCCCAGCTGGTCCCAGCAGGCCAGCCTCGCGTGACTGGCTCCTTCATCTGAAGGGGGGGGGAAAGGAGCCAAACCCTGTGAATGTGTCTTTGTTGCCTCCGAGGTGAGGAGTGGCCAGATTGTGTGGTTTAGCTGTGGAATGAGCAGTGGAAGCACTTTCTCTTCCATTATATCTGCATAATAGGCCGACAGGTCGTACATTATGTAAGTTCCTGGCAAGAAAGTGGTTTCCATCTCGCTGAATTGGCAGCTTCCCTAAACCTCAGGTTTCCCATGTCCCTCAGATATCATTATACTTCCGCCCATGGCTTTTCTAGACTTTCCCTATCATCAGAAGGGGGGTTGGGGGGCTCTGCTGTGAGGAAATTGAGCCGTCTCCTTCTGCAGCTCCTGTCTGGAAGAATGGACAGCTATGATGCAGAATGCAGAGCCTGAAACTGGCCTTCCCTGAGTGCTGCAGGGGCCCAACTGTTGCAATGTGGCTTGACTTTTCTGCCTGCAGCTAACATCCAAGATCTCTGATTCCATCTCAGCATGCTCTTGATGCATTAAGTTAACATATTAAGAATTCCAAGCCAGTCATGGTGGTGCACGCCTGTAATCCCAGCAACTCGGGAGGCAGAGGCAGGAGGATAGTGGGTTCAAAGCCAGCCTCAGGAAAAGCAAGGCACTAAGTAACTCAGTGAGACCCTGTCTCTAAATAAAATACCAAATAGTGCTGGGGATGTGGCTCAGTGGTCAAGTGACCCTGAGTTTAATCCCCAGCACCAAAAAAAGAAATGAAAAAGAATTCCAAGTCTTCCTATCTAAGGATATAGTTCTCCTTTTATTCAGATCTTCTATTATATCCCCCAATGACATTTCTGGTTTTCTTTATTATATCCTACACATTTTTCAATAGCTCTATTCCTAGGTGTGTTCTCTTTGGGGTAGCTCAAGCCAACAATCTCATGAGGCATGATAATGGGCTGCTTCTTCACTGAGATGCCTGCTGGCTGGGAGCTCCAGTATGGCGTATACCAACATGGAGCCCTTCGTGTACTGAAACCAAGACTGAAAGTCAAATCTCACAAAAAAAAACAGTCCCCCCTTATAGGACATACCTGTAATCCCAGGGGCTTAGGAGGCTGAGACAGGAAGATTTTGAGTTCAAAGCCAGCCTCAGAAGTTTAACAAGGCTAAAGATCTGGCTCCTTTTTAACTGCATTGATATATTACATTTATAGTGCTGCAGAATTTATATATATATATATAAATAACACAGCCTTTGTGGGATTTTATTTTTCAAAAGTGCCAGACATGAGGTGGGAAATGGAAAGAACACTGGACATGAGTATGCTCTCATAATACCTGCTGAAACCACCTTGGGCAAGTCACCTGCCCTACCTGTCCCTAATCCCACCTGGAAATGGGAACAGCAATGCTCACCAAATAAGATGTGATGGGGCACCAAGGGCCGCAAGAGCTGCGCCAAGCTTAGGAATTCTACTTTCACACGGAGAAATTCTATTTCACACAAATATCTTCTTTCAGGATAACACATATCTATTTAGTACTCACCAGCAGGCAGAAAAGGAGAGATTCTATGAGACTGGATAATGAAAGCAGCAAAAACAGCGATAATGATAATAGTTCATATTTCTTGAGAACCTCCTACATGCCAGGCACCATGCTAAGGCCTCCATATAAAGTATCTCATTTAATCTTCAGGAAGGTAAAAGTACTCTATTTTTTTTTTCTTTTTGGCCAAAGAAAAAGGCCAAGTTTAGCCCATTGTAGTAACTTGGCCAAGTTCACTTGGCTTCCAAATGGCAGAATTGGGGTTTAAATTCAAAATAAATAAAGCCTCGCTTTAAGAGATATCCACACTACCATGAAAAATAAAACAGATATAAATGATACATATTCACAGAAAAGTAATAAAACTCATATATTTATAAATAAACAACATCATATAAGGTTTTCAATGGATAATGCCATTGACTTGTCCAATGTGAACAAAGAAGGAGAGAGAGAAAGGGAAGATGAATAAGTTGGGAAGATGTTATGGAGAGAGTAGCATGTTACCTGGGCCTTGAAGGATGAGGCATATTTTGACAAATGGAGGAGGAAAAAGGTATCCCAGACAAAGAAGTGGTCACAAAGGCCCAGAGGAGGGAAACAAAGCACATAGTGGGTAACATTTTGTGTGACTGGAATGTAGGAAAAGGAAGGAGAGATATGGGCTAAAATTAGAGATTGCTAATTGTTCCCTAATATTCATTTTTCTCTTCTTTTTATTATATGGCACACAGCTGCCCAGCAAGAGACAAGAGTCCCCAGCTTGTCTCATCTGGTGGCAAGGTGCTATCATGTGAGAGATCTGAGTCCAGGTACCTGAGCTGAAGGGATCTACTACTAACTCACTGATCTGAAGTCAGAAGACTGAGCTCCTGCCCAGGACTCCCCTTCCCCCACTCCTTTATCACGAATGGAAGTAGTGAGACCTAAAGCAGCTGCCTTGGGTCCAAGGAGGGAATCCACAGGTAGAGGCTGACCAAGCTGCCCAGCACACTTGGCCGCCCAGGTGTAGGTGCACAAGAAAGAAATAAGCATCCATCTTAGGTAAGTAATGGCACTTCTGGTTCTTATGTAAACTTCAGAAATACAATTATTGCTACATGGACCCAATTAGTGCAGGGTCCACTCTTACAGGACCTGGAATTCCATGATCAATATTTGGAAAACAGCATGCAGACAACCGGGATTCTTGTTTTAGTTTGAAGCATCTGTGTTCACACAGTGAGCTGGTGTCAGTTTTCCTTTCCTAAAGAACTTACATATTAAAGGAGAGCCTTTCTATCAGTCGAGTTCCAAATTATGTTAACTAGAGCTGGAAGTCAGGAAAGCACATTTCCCAATGTCTCAAAGAAGAAGCTGGTGCTGGTTTTATCAAGAAAGCTTTAAAACCATAAAAGGGAAAAGGGAAATATAGGAAGAGGTAATGGAAGTACACATCTGAGAACAATTCCACCAAGGAACTATTTGCCATTGATCTTTAAGAAAGTGCTGTTCCCAATTATCCTGAGATACTTATTCTCAGATGAGTAAAGTATAAGTCAACGGCATCCAAGGAACATCTACCACGTTTCTTTCTCCATCCATCTCAGAAGAAAAGAAGCAATCATACAGAAAGGTCTATCTCATCCATAAGTTATTTAAATAATAGGTTATTCCAAATAAATTAATTTTCCAGTACCTGGAAATCAAGTTCCCTTCTGTTGTTTTTTCATTAGCCAATAACAATAAAATCAGTGCTCTTGCTCCCCAGATGATCATAAACAAACTTCAAACATGAATGCTATATTTGTATCAGAAGATGGTTTTCTGATTAAGCAGAACAAACTTATTTAACTTTTTAGAGATGCTGTCATAACAAACACAAAAACATCAGAATCAATCTGTAGCTCTTCCATTTGATAAATTCATGTGCAAGAGGCCAACATTTTGGGACATGGGTTCTATTAACTAATCATCAGTCTTTCATAAGAAATCTTTCCTGATAAACATATACTCAACATACATTTAACACAGGTTACATAGTACACACTTCTACTACAAAGTTGTTCCTCATGGATTGTATGGTGCAGGAGGAAAATTATAAACAAAAAGCAAAAATTTGTAGTTCTCAAATTGCACTTAAATCAAATAAAAACAAAGTCAGGACACTATTACTTGATAGATAAAAACAGTCCACTGATTTACAAGGTACTTGCAATTCTTGGAAAACTCAGTGTATTTTGCCACCCTGTAAAATATAATTGTGTTTATGTGTAAAATAGATTCAAGTTTAGGTTTGGGCAATTACGATGGGTATTTTACCCACATATCTTATGGTGGGACATTAGAAAGCTGTGTGGGATGTGGAATAGCATTTCAATTGCGGGGACAGCTGGTGTGGCCAGGGGAGGTTGACCAGCATCTCCCCAACCCCACTAAATGCCAGCAGCACTTGCTATCATTGTGAAAGAAAACCACCCCAAAATTCCCTAGGGGGCAGTCACACCCCCATTCTCATGCTCCTGTGCTAGAGTGGCTCGCCCCAGGCTCCAAATTCGCTTCCTAGGGCAGGATTATTGGGCTTGCTTCTGACTTCAGATCAGACAAGGTGCTGAGCCTGTGCATCTCGTCCTTGCAATGAAAGGGTTTTTATGCCACTGAACTGACACAGAAAAGAGGTGGAACAGGGGAGCATTCTCACAGTTGGGGCCTCCCAAGTAAACTTACCTGCTCAGGCCCTCCACTGCACTGCGTGGAGGAGACAACTACTAAGTAGATTTTAGCAACATTGATTGTGAACATGGGTGACAAAGGCCCTCATCCCTAAGGGACAGCAAGGAGGGAATTCTGACAGGCAGATGGGGCTGGAAAGGTAAATTGCTAACTCCTGATAAGAGAGGAGAGGTCAGAAACAGAGAGGCAATGTGGACAGGGTGGCCAAATTTAAAAGAGCTTTACTGGGTTTGGGGTGAAGACAGGGGCTGTTTGCTTTGCCCCCTGTTTTGAGAGGCACATATGGGGGTGCTTAAGTACAGGGAGTATTTGTGAAAAGGAAATCAAAGGAAGGCAGAAAAATCCTGCAATCTGAGATCCTCACAAAGAACTCTCTCTCCAATGAACTGGTAACCCTAAAACATAGCCCGGTTCAGCTGAAACCATAGCATGCCAAAGATTTAAGTGGATCTTCCAAGCTGAACCCACAATTCTCTGTGTTCTCAGGAAGAAGGAAGATAGGGCTGGAATCTTGACTGGGGGAGTAGTTGAGAGGTGCCTCTGTCTTCAACGTTTTGCTTCTGGAGTGAGCCTACCAAGGCCCTTTTACCCCTTTAACCTCAGCAAGTAGAGAATACCAACGATGCATTTCCCGGCCCCGAGGACAGCTTCTCCTTGATTGACTTTCCAAAGTCCTCTCCACGCGGCGCTGGCACTCTCTCTTTCCCCCTCCCCTCTCCCTGCCTC